ACGATAACCATTGGGACTTAACGCTTGCTGATGCTGCGTTGACATCAACGCCCAATAACATTCGTCAGCTATTTGCAATTATTTTAACAACATGTTATCCATCGCAAGCACAAAATTTGTGGGAAAAATATAAAAATTATATGACAGAAGACATATTGCACCGAATTAGACAAAGAGATCAATGCCAAAACATAGATTATACGCCAGAGATATATAATGAAGCGTTAGTATTGGTCGAGAATTTATGTGTTTTAATTTCAAATTTACCACTTAATCATTATGGTATGCCATCACCTGATCGCCCAGCCACCGACTTAGAAAACACCGATTTACAGCGAGAAAAACAATATGACCACGGTAATTTAGCAACATTTATAGCGAACAATGAGCCATTACTGACAGCAGAACAAAAAATTATTTATGATCGGATTATGCTGACTGTTGCTACTGAACAAGGCGGCTTTTTTTTCTTGGACGCACCTGGTGGAACCGGTAAGACATTTTTAATATCGCTGATTCTTGCCAAAGTACGATCACAAAAGAAAATAGCATTGGCAGTTGCATCGTCAGGCATTGCGGCTACTTTGCTAGATGGTGGGCGAACGGCACATTCAACATTGAAGTTGCCATTGGACGTTCACAATAAACCAAACGCAATATGTAACATAAAAAAATAGTGAAATAGCTGCAGTGTTGTGGAAGAGTTCAATCATAATTTGGGATGAGTGCACAATGGCTCACAAACATTCACTCGAAGCATTACATAGAACTATGCAAGATTTAAACGGCAACGATAAACTTTTCGGTGGTTCTATTTTACTTTTGTCTGGTGATTTCCGACAGACCTTACCGGTTATACCTCGCTCTACTTTCGCGGATGAGATTAATGCATGTTTGAAACAATAATTCTTGTGGCGAAGTGTAGAAACACTTCGTTTGACCATAAACATGCGCGTACGATTGCAAAATGATTCAACTGCACAAATATTTTCCTAACAATTACTAGATATTGGGAACGGTAAAATAGAAGTGCAACCAAATACGGAATGCATTAAACTGCCACACAATTTCTGCACTGATCTTCCGGGAAAAAATGAATTGATTCAGAGTATCTTTCCAGATATACAGAGTAATTACTTGAATCATAACTGGCTCAGTGATCGGGCTATTTTGGCAGGCCAAAAATGTTGATGTTGACGAAATTAACTTCCAGATACAACAGTTATTACCTGGCGATCTGATTCTTTTAAATCAATCGATACTGTTGTTAATGAAAATGAAAGTGTAAATTTTCCAATCGAATTTTTAAATTCACTAGATATACCTGGAATGCCACCACATAATCTTCGACTAAAGATTGGTTCACCTATTATTCTCCTGCGTAATTTGAATCCACCTCGATTATGCAACTAGGTTTGGTCATCAAAAGGATCACTGGAAATATCCTTAAGGCAACCATTTTAACTGGAAATTTTAAAGGAGAAGTGGTTCTGTTGCCACGTATTCCAATGATACCGTCAGATTCTACGATACCCTTCAAAAGGCTACAGATTCCAATTCGTTTAGCTTTTGCCATGTCTATAAATAAATTTCAAGGCCAAACAATGTCTATTTGTGGTTTGGATTTGGAAAATCCATGTTTTTCTCATGGGCAACTATATGTAGCATGTTCACGAGTAGGCGAATCTACCTTCGTTCGTAAATAACAATTTCATTGTATTAAGGGTAACGGTAGTAGAAACTCAGCCGTGGAGTTCGCCATTTTCTTACAAATGGCATCTATGTAAAAAAAGCATGGTGGTCCCCATGATTGATGTTCTCCTAATCTCCGTTCCACTTAAATAGTTTAATAAAATGTAATATAATACAGACGTTAGCCACAGCAATGCGTGGCCGGGTCTGATAGTATATATATATACAAAACACGGCAACTTAATTTCGAAATGGCAACCCTGCTACGGAACTAGCGGCCGCTACTCGTAGCGTCAACGCAACCTCGATATTTTGTCACAACCACAACGCAACTGCAAAAAGCTGCAGCGACACTATTCACACGTGACCATATTTTGTCGCTGCGATGTGGTGTGGTTGTGGTACGTGTGGGACGACCCTTAGAATCGTTGTGGTTTTAAAAAGAGGTGCGAAAATATATATCTATATGATTTAGACTGCGAGAAAATAAGACAGAATACAGTATACACAATGTTTTCTATTATTTATAATATAATGTAATAAACAACGTGTTAAGTATATAATTTTTAAATTCGCTAATAATGTTTTAATAATTTAACAACAATTATCCTACTCCTGATACTCTGCATTCGTCTCTTTCTCTCGAATTTCAGTTTTCTGAAGGTTTCACTTCTACCGCGTGTGAACGAACTACACACTTTTTTTATTCAATACTTTTTGTACTAAAGGTACAAACAGTGTACATTTTGTATAACAAATAGAAAGTTAGTGGGTGAAGTGATGTACTGCAGGGAGCTAGCGTGAAAAACGTAATGTTGATTTAAGTACATAAAATCACGCCGCATCACACGCAAACAAGCACGTACGTACGTATGACAAATGCACGCACACACACACATGCGCGCGCACCCAGCAGTACATGCCTTTTCTCATGTTTGAGGAGGTTACGGAGCAATTAGTCACCACGCTAGTCTTTTCTACGATGAAGGTTTCCTCAAGAGATTTCTTACTCCGCGCGAATTAGTAAATCAACACTTAACATTGCAGTTTACAATTTCACTTGTGCCGGCGGAGATCAAACCAGTATTGCTCGCGTGCTGTGAATTTAACGCGAGCTCTAAGTCTTTGAGCCACCATGGCTCTCACGTAACTAAAGGGTGATATTGTCTCAGCCTCATTAACCTAGCAATCTAGTAAAATAAAGCTTCGTGTAAGTGTAAGACTAGTTTTTTACTAAGCTTTATAGTTTTACTAGCTTGCTAACTCACTGACGAAATTTTTTTTTACCTACGCGTCCATTGTATGGTGTAATAAGGCCAACTAAAAGACGATTGCAGACAGGCTAAATATTATACAAAAGACTGCGAGATTAATGACAACTGGAGCGATGCGATCATCGCCTGGAGCGGCACTTAGTGCACTTTTATGCCCTCTTGATCTTTATTTAGACAAGGAAGCGAGTGGTCGTTTGTATAGGATTAACGCGCAGGTCCGTCTGAGCTTGCTTTCCTACAGATTGAAATCCCTGCTCGACTCAATAAAGGAAACAGACGTCAGACGTTATGAATGATCTCAAATACCATGCGTCCATTATACACTTTTAGTAAAAAGTACATACACTGCTAGCGCTGAGATCAAACTTAGTGACCTCGAAGCTAGTTGGAGACTGCTTGAACTGTCTTAAACGGATAACGCCTGTAACACCAGGGTCGTTTTAAAATGGGTTATGCGGGTATTGTAGGTGATGAACTTGCCGACAAGCTCGCACAGGAGGGCTCAAAGAGTACACAATTTGAACCCGAGCCATTTTGTGTAAATTTAAAACGCCTAGCCAGAGTCACCCTTGAAACTCTTTATCATAAATCAAGATCTGGTCTGATATACCAGGCTTAAAACATTCTAAAACATTAACCCGGGTTTGTGATCTTAAATTCCCTTCAGAAGCCTTGGAATTAAATAGGAATAAACTGCGTAATCTGGCAAGAGCCCTAACTGGACACGGTTGTCTAAAAATTACATGTCCACCCTGGGACGAAGCAACTGAAGGATGTGACAATTCTGTTGCCCAATGTAAGAAACACCTCTGCACATCCTAACTGATTGTGGACCCTTAACGCACAATCGTCTGGGAAACTATGTACTTTGCCCAGAATAAATGAAATTACTCACAGCTAAGCAACTACTTCAATTCATTGAAGACATAGGGATTAGCAATGCACTTTAGCCATAGCAGCGATCACAATAGATCTCATAGGTCGCAGTGATACTGGTCTTTCTAGACCTCCTATACCTGCTCGCACAAAGTAAAAAAAATAAAACATTCCTGAATTAGGTAATCATAACAGTAATCTTCCTTGCCTGACTAATTGGTCCAGTGGTCGTGAACGCAGTTGCTAATCATGGGGTCCTGGGTTCGAATCGTGGGTCGGGCCTAAATCAGTTATTGTATTTTTCTGTCAAGAAATTCTCAGTAGCAACTCGGAGTCAGGAAGTTGGCGGTGTTTCACCCCCGTGCCTCGGAAAGCACGTGAAGCTGTTGGTCCTGCGCCTGATCTCTCTCCAGTCTTGTCGGATTACCGCCCTTCGCACTATGAGAATGAGGGAATGGAGAGTGCACCTGTGCTTGCGCGTACACTTTGGCACTAAATCCTGTCCTGCGCAGATAACTAGTCTTAGTTAAAGACTGGCCGCCGTGATCAAAATTTGGTCTAGAGAACATTATTATTATAATACGATTTATTCAACAATAAAATTAAGGAAGATAAATACAAAGTTCCTTCAAGACAGGTAATTAATGCTACGGGCTCTACGGTCTTCGTGAGAACAATTCAATAACTGATTTTTGTGGCCCGATCCCGGATTTGAACTCGGGACCTCGTGATGAGCATTCGCGTTTACGATCACTAGACTAAGGATTCATTCAATACAACAATAGCGAATCCATATTAATACACTGTTTTTTTTTTAAAAAATAGTATAACTGTGTCCCGTAGACATCTACATTTATCCTCCGTTAGGAGTCAAAATGCAGATGTGTTGTCAGTCCTGTAAACTAAGATAAAATGCCTATAATAATAATGCTAATAAAAGGGTCTCACTAAACTCAACATATGAAACAGCAGCATTAAGCTGCTATTTCGTGCTGGTATTCCGTGAGAGTGTGATCCTTCCCCAGTTGAGCCATTCGTGCTAAAACCAAAGTATAGCTGGAGTGTGACTCTACCACGTATAAAACCAATATTGCTCCATCCTGATCCTTAATCGAAGGAAAATCGTGTGGTCTGGGTTATTATTTGAAATTGACTCACCTATAGAATCTTTCAGCCCATAAACTCCACTGTCCGTGTGGATGACATCCACAAAGTCAGCGTCCGTGTTTTTGAGCCTCAGCTCTGGTGACACGTGGCTGAAGCAGGGACCGGCAGGATCCAGCGCAGATATCCGGCCCAACCGTTTGCCAGTTAACCGCTCCAATGTCTTGCCGGCGAACCCGGAGATGTGCGCGCCCAAACTGTGCCCGATCATGTGGATCGTTGACGCGTTTGTGCCTTCTGGTGGTTTCAAATGCATTTCAAACAATCAACCAATATGTTCTTTATTGTCCACCAATACACATTAAAAAATTATGGGATATCCCAAGCAGATAGTAGCACCCAGCCATCTTATGGTTTATCTGATATAATATCAAGGACGATCTTGAATAATATGTATATCGGTGTCAGAGCCACGTTGCGGCTATATTATGTAGTATGAATGTGTCGGCTCAACCGGGGATGGACCAGGATCTCACAGAATACTAACTTAAAATAGCAGTTTAACGCTGCTATGTTTCGTATGGTAAGTGTACTGTACTGGATATAAGTACTTGTTACTGGAATGAGGCATTCTATCTATGTTCTCGGGGGTGACAAACCATTCTGTATTTTGATTCTTTATTGAGGATATATGTAGATGCTTATGGATCACAGCATTTACTTACTATCAGAAGAAGACTGTATGCTTGTTTGTCACCATTATTTAAAAAAAGTTGACTTTTTTATCAATTATCTGAAAAGAAGTAAAGCGAAAACAAAATAAAATAAATTATACTAGCGCCAAATTAATAACAGTGATTGTTTCGGTTGGAAGGGTATAAAGATTAAATAATAGGTCGGGGGAAAAAGTTTCTTCGTATTTTATATACAAATTCAAGACATTTTTTTTTCAAAGTTTTATTACATTTAATAATATATAAATATGCCATTTTGTTCGATGACCTGTTGCCATCTTGTAGGCAGTGACATAATCCCGTTGCTGTAGAAATCTTGAAATTATTGATTAAAAAAATGCGACAAGTAGTTTTGACAGTCCTCTCTTGATTTTAACCTAACACTATACAAAGAATTCTGAAGAGACCGAAACAGGTGAAAATCTGAGGGTTGAAAACAGTACTATATAGTGGATGCGTTGTCACTTCCCAACCATGCTGTCTCAATGTTTGCTGAGTGGCCAAAGATGTGTGGGGTCGGTCGTTATCATGATAAAGGAGCACTCCTTTTCTGTAGATTAATTCCGGCTGTTTTTTTTTTTCAATTTCTTGTTTGAGTCTCATTATTTGTTGGCAGTAGAGATCCGAATCGATGGTTTTGCTCGGCGGTAAATGCTTGTAATAAACGATTCGCTTCCAATCCCATTATACAAAATGTCACCTTGTTGCGTATTAATCCGGGTTTCGCTACAGTCTAAGGAGCTCGACTAACCTTTTAAAATGACCTTTTTCGCACGTTTTTGTCGTAGGTGATCCGCTTTTCATCACTAGCGATCAATGTTTTTCAAAAATGGTTTGGTTTCATTACGTCTCAAAAGAGAATCATCACAATTTTCACAAATCACAATTTTTTAGATTTCTTTCAGTGAGTTCGTGTGGTACCCAAATATCGAGCTTTTTTGTATAGCCAGACTTTTGAAATTGATTAAAACTATTTTGTAGTCAATCCTCAATTCCTCGGCTATGTTGTAACTACTAATATTTATTAATTTATCTTTATGAGGGTAACAAGAGCGAGCTGCATCTTTGACATTAACATACCCGAATCGAAAACGCTTGAACCAATTTAGTGCTACTCTTACTTACACTTTATTAGGTCTATAAACGTCACAATTTTTTTTTGCGGCTTGAGTCGCATTTTTCCTTTTTTACCGACTTCAAAAAGGAGGAGGTATTCATATTCGACTTTCATTGTAGATGTCTATGGGCCACAGCTACCACTTACCATCAGGTGGACTGTGTGCTCGCTTGTCACCCTTTTCCTATAAAAAAATACGGTCTCTCGGTCGGAAATGCTCTGTACTGCCGGGTCTTGCTCGTTGGCTAAGGATAGAGGGGTAAGCCCTTTATCACAAGAAATGACGTCCCTATAGAATAGATCATCCAATTTCGTCAGAAAGTTACGGAGGCTATAAACACTTCGCGATTATGCATGGTGAGCGCGCTTAAAAAGCCACGCCTATCATATTTCCGCGGCAAGTACAGCCTCATAATCGAAGATATCGGGTGATGCATCCTATGGGACGTTATAGTAGTGCGGACTTTTCTAACCAGGGCGTTAAGTTCGGTTTGAGTCCACCTGAGTATGCCAAAGGTATACAGGCGTGACCCAACCGTTATATGCGAGTGTCTTTTCAACATGATGAAAACAACATGCGCTTAGAATATATTCTACCTATTGTGGAAGAAGGAGTTCCACAATCAAGTGCAGTTCTACAGCATGGTGTGGCGATGGGCTCACCTGCGTCTCCCATTGTCGCCGACATATTCATGGAAGACTTTGAGGAAAAAGCCCTGCTTATTTCCCCCGTAAATCCAAGGTTCTACAAACGGTACATAGACGACACTTTCACAATTCTACCTTTAGGTAAAGTAACTGCATTTTTAGACCATCTTAACTCTATAAATTCTAAAATTGAGTTTACAATGGAGTTAGGCAAGCAATTCTTTAGCTTTTCTAGATGTGTTATTAATTCGGAATCCTGATAACACCTTGAGCCATACTGTGTATAGAAAAAAGACCCATACAGATAGATATTTAAACGATGATTCTCACCACCATCCTTCACAGTTAGCTACCGTGGGTAAATCTTTGTTTCAGAGAGCACGAGGGATCTGTGACAGTAAACACCTGGCTGCCGAGTTACAACACGTCAAGCAGGTTTTGCATGAAAACAAGCTTCGGGTCCCGTGCCTACGTCACAGTATACGTGTGAAGCCGGCCAAAATCGAGCGTGTGCCTGCTGTACTGCCATATGTCAGAGGAGTCACTGACAAGATTGGCTACATCTTGAAGCACGCTTCCATTAAAACATACTTCAAGCCGCCGAAGAAGATTGGTCAGTTTTTACCATCAGTCAAGTGTAATGTCGCTCTGCAAGATGCAGGAGTGTACAAGCTTGATTGTGAATGTGGTCTCTCCTACATAGGACAAACTAAAAGATCAATTAAAACCCGCGTTAAAGAACATATAGCTGATGTGAAGAATCGACGCTCCGAGAAGTCTGCAGTCTGTGAACACGTACAGGATCGCCCCCGTCGCTACATCAGATTTGATAGACCACAAATTCTCGCTAAAGAACACTGATTCCTTCCAAGAATGATTCGCAAGGCTATTGAAATCAAAAAAATTCTTAATTTCAATAGAAAAGATGGCTGGGTGCTACCATCTGCTTAGGATCCTATAATAAATAAAATTAAATCCCAAACCAAGCATACGACTGCAAGACAAGATATAAGTTCATACTGTGTAGATCGGAACAAAAGTTAAATTTTAATCTATGGTAACCGCGGTTAACTATGACATCTGGACGTTGAACATCTCAGTCCCCCCGCCCCCCATGGGTGCTGTAAAGTGCTCGAAACATCGGGTATTTAAAAAGTTACGCGATAAAATCCGTAAAAACTAGTATTATTTAAGGCAGAAGTTTGTTTCGGTACTCGGCGACGTTTTCCCGAGAAATATTGGCACAGCCGATGTACAAAGCATCATCAGTGCTGTTGTTAGCATAGCAATGAATGTTACTGGTTTGCAACATATAATTGATATGCAGAGGATACAACGTTGGTGACAGCCTTGTGTGGGCTTGGGCTTTGAGCAAATGATGTGCCAAACCCAATCGAAGGCCTACGCTACGTCCAAACTGACGGCTTAGGCTAACGCCTCCATTTGGACTCTACTGCTTCCGCCTATCTATGAGTTAGGTAACTCAGAAGATCACTAGCAGAACGACCACGACGGCCACTAATCAGTACTGGCGGTCACTAATCAGCTGGTGATCCTCAAGGTACCTCATGAGCTGGCAGTAAATAATTGTTTTCATTATTTTAATTCTCCAAAGCCTATCGCTATCACTTCCTTGTACTTAAGGAGGTGATAGCGATAGGCCTGTAGTTAGGCGAATCTTTAGGAAACGGGTATCACTAAAGTTGTCTTCCATTATTTTGGGACTACGCCTAGGGAGTAGGAGTACCGAAAAAAAAACGCGTAAAAGCCAATACAAATCTGGAGCACAAGTTTTCAGCATAATAGGACGAACGCCATCAGGCCCACTCGACTTGTTGACGTCCAGGAAGAGAAGTGCTCTGTGCACCGAACGTTGGATAAACAGCACATCCTGCATGGAGCACACACACTGAGGCAGGGTGTTCCCCCGTCATCAAGAGTCGAGTTGTACGCAAAGAAGGAACTAAGCAGATCGGATTTGTACTTTGCGACATGGATACATAAGTGGTAAGAAATTTAAAGCAGCTTAACGCTGCTATGTGAACCGGATACCATTTTTACTGGAAACAAGGCATTCCATCTTAATTCTCAGGGGCGACAACGCATCAGTATTTTGATTCATAATCGAGGATAGATTTAGATGTCTATAGGACACAGCAACCACTTATCATCAGGTGGACTATGTGCTCGTGCTTTGGTTGAAAAACTGCGCTTGCCAAGCGGGCCAACTATGTCAAAATCCCAATCTATGACTTTGAAAGTCTCTAACTCTAATGAATGGATGTATGAATATAAATTAACGACGTCATTACGCTACATTCTTATGCGATTTTATAGAAATGTTTATTTTGACTGCAAATAGAAGAATAATTCAATAGACGCCGGCAGGTTTGGATTTGGTTTGGTTGCATGAAATATAATTTTAAGTCCATCGCTTATCTCCTGAGCTCCTACGACTCTCAACAAGAATTAACCAGAAGGATAGACGTAAACTGACGTCACTTTTAGTAATTTCCACACGCAAACTAACCGATCTGCATTAATAATTATCTGCGAAAACCACCGATGACGCAACATTGCCATTGTCTCAAGTATTTAATGTTTTCAATTAATAAGCGTATAATGTAGTTTCACTTGTATATTTATCATCTTTATCCGGTTATAAATAATTCAGAATACGGAATTTTTTATAATATCGGAGAATATTCGAAAATTGTGAAAGGATAGAGCCACGCCGCAGCCACGTTACGGTTATGCACGAATAGGTAGGCTCGACTGGGGAAGGACCACGCTCTCAC